CGCGCCATTGCACTCCAGCCTGGGTGACATGAGTGAAACTCCATCTCAAAAAAAAAAAAAAATAAAAATAAAAATAAACCCACAATCCAATATTTAGGTTCTGTGAAACTAAAATTCTACTGCATTCCCAAAGAAGGCCTGTAGTAATCACTACTTGAGTCAAAACATAAACATAGGAACATCATAATTAAAATTATAAATGAAACATAAAGATCAAATGAGTAAAGAAATGTTAGAAGGAACAGAGAGATCACCCAGTCCCATGACCTCATTTCTAGATGGGGAACCTGTAGTTCAGTGCCGAAGTCCAGAGTCCACTCCCTAAGGCCACACAGAAAGCTAACGGCCAGCAAGTTCCAAAGGAGCAGGGTTCACTGAAAGACTGCCAATGCATTCCTCATCACAGCCCACGCACTTGCAGGACTGAAGAGGAACATAATTTCTTCCGTGCTCTCGGGCATGGCTCATCTCACCAATGGTCCCATCCAGCCCTTGCAGGGTTCTGCTGAGGTTCCTAAACACAAGCCCCTCTGTGGCCAGGCAAGGATTTGGAATGGGAGCGGCAGCCCCAGGCCTACCCCCAGCACCAACAGCCTGGGCACATGAGGTTGCGAGAAGTGCATACACAAGCAAAAGGCTTTGCGGCCCTGTGCCAAACACTTTATTAAACACCTTCCCAGCCCCAAAACCTGAACCCTGTCTCTATCTCCTGCCTTCCTTCTCCTTAAAACCCCATCACTAAGTCCAAGAGACCCACGAACACAACAGAAAAAGCTCAGGTTTTCATCAGACAAGTCTAGCTTGTCACTATGTGACTGTGGGGAAGTCTCTTTCTCTTTCTGACCCTGTTAATCTATAAAATGGAAAATCATCACTGCATTAAAAGGGCTGTCCTGGCGACTAACACATTAAAAATGTTCACTCCCTCCTGCCAGCTTTTTTAGAGACAGGGTTTCACTCTGTCACCCAGGCTGGATTGCAGTGGCACCATCGTGACTCACTGCAGCCTCGACTTCCTGGGTTCAAGTGATTCTCTCACCTCAGCCTCCCAAGTAGCTGGGATTATAGGCACATCACCATGGCTGGCTAATTTTTAAACCTTTTGTATAAACGAGGTCTTGCTAGGTTACCCAGGCTGGTCTCAAACTCCTGGGCTCAAGCAATCCTTACACCTCAGCCTCCCAAAGTGCTAGGATTAACGGAGTGAGCCAACGAATCTGGCCTCCTTCCCATCGTCTTTTTAACATTTCCAATGTGCTCGGTCACTTTCATTCCCATGCTACCATTCCCTAGAGCAGCAATGCATGAGAAACACAAAGTGACAAAAGTAAGCCACATATGCAATATTAGATTTTCTAGTAGCCACATTATAAAAGCACAAATAGGTAAAATTAATTTTAATAACATGTTTGATTCAATATATCAAAATATTACCGTTTTTACACAGAATCAATAAAACTTCACTAATGAGATATTCACATTAAGGTTTTCAGATTAGGGTTGTGTGTCCTTCATACTCCCACTGCTCCCCACTCCATTCCCAGTGTGCAGGAGCCACACATAGCCGGTGGCCACCAGGCTGGACAGCACAGCCCAAGAGATCAGGCTCCCCTCCCACATGCCTGCTCAACTTCATCAGCCTCCTGGATCTGGCCTCTGCACTTTCAGCTTCTCTTCTGTGCAACCTATCCCAAACACAGATGCAGGCCTGGCCTGCTGAACACTAACTGCTCCGGATCGAGAGCCTTTGTCGGCCGCCTTCTAGGACGTGAGTGTATTTACTGGTATTCAAAGTCCTCCTTGGCTGGCTTCCCGAAGATATATGCTACCTTAGTCCATGTCTTCCTTCTAGGGGCCTCCTGGTAGTCAGGCTGATGTCCTCCTGGCCACACCATGGCCCATCACTGAATGTCTCATCACTGCAGTCCCGCCTCACTTATATAAGGCAGGCAGCACTGGGTCCTGAGGGCTCGTCCTGGGCTCTTCACTGTCTTGGCCTGCCATACGGGTCAACTCTGAGGACAACCTCTTATTGTTGCTCTTTTTCAGATAAACAACATGCTCAAGGACACACAGCTGATAAGTGATGGGGCCAGATGCAAACTCAAGCTCAGTCTCCCACCCCTGAGGAGATTTCACCCCTGTCTGGATGGCCATCCAATTCCACCTCAGCTGGGATCTACAAAGTACAGCTGGAATCCCAGCTTCTTCATGGCTATCCCAGTCACAATAGTTCCTTCTCTGTTTTTTTTTTTTTTTTTTTTTTATATTTATAAATGAGCAAACTCCTAGGTACAGGAAAAAAAAAACTAAGAGTCCAGAATATACCTCTGTGACCTAAAAATTATTTTGAGCTAAAAGCATTTGAGTTCCTTAAGTCCCTTATATGCTGAAAAGCAGAGCCTCACAAAAGAACTCAACTGTGATAAATATCCTCCCTGGAACACAAGGGAAGACAAACTCTTATCACCTAAGACTAGAAGAAGTCCAGAACATACCTAAACAGACACTGTCAAAAACTAGCCTCCCTCCCATCTATTCTCCTCAGTGCCCACTTCCCATCAGGCCCCTCCTTCCTCCTCTTCCCCTATTAAGAAGTCATCTGGGCCAGGTGCAGTGGCTCACACCTGTAATCCTAGCACTTTGGGAGGCAGAGGTGGGTGTATCACTTGAGGTCAGGAGACTAGCCTGGCCGACATGGCAAAACTCCATCTCTACTAAAAAAAAAAAATACAAAATTTACCTGGGCATGGAGGCATGTACCTGCAGTCCCAGCTGGGGCTGAGACAGGAGAATCGCTTGAACCTGGGAGGCAGAGATTGCAGTGGGCCAAGATCATGCCACTGCACTCCAGCCTAGGTAAAAGAGCATCTCAAGACAAAACAAAAAAAAGAAGTCATTTGTTTTCCCACACCGGCCTTTCTGCCCCTCCCCTTCCCCTATTAAGATGCTATATAAGCCCCAAATTTTAACCACTTCTTTGAGTCACGTTTTTGTGACTCACACAAGAGTTTAATCAAACACATCTGTATGTAATGATTAAACTCTGCCTTTCCTCTTCCTCATCTGTCTTTTGCCAGTTTAGTCCATAGACCACCAAACACTGAACCTATGAGGGCTGGGAGTTAGGTTTCCTCCCCAACAACTCAAAGGCAGCATTTAAAAAAAAAAATTAAGAAGATGTTATTAAGGCATGAGGAAGTTTCTTAAACACAAAAACAAATTCATGTATAACTCTACCACCCCAACCCAACTACGTTCATTCTTCATATTCCCTCCTGGTCCTTGGATAGACAGAGTGCTGTGGTCTGAAGATGGTGTCCTCTCAAAATGCTATGATGGAACCTAATACCCAATGTGATAGTATTAACAGGTGGGGCCTTTGGGAAGTGATAAAGCCACAAGGTCCCTGCCTTCATGAACAGGATGAGTGCCCTTACAGAGAGGCAAAGGGAGCTGCCTTGCTCCTTCCACCATGTGAGGACACAGCAACAAGTGCCACCTCAGAAGCAGAGTGAGCCCTCACCAGACACCAATTTGCTGGTGCCTTGATCCAGGACTCCCCAGCCAGTCTAAGGTATTTTGTTATAGCAGCCTTAACAAACTCAGACAGAAACTGGTACTGAGAAGTGAGTTGCTGCTGTATCAAATACCTACCAACGCAGGAGTGGCTTTGGAACTGGGTAATGGGCAGAGGTCGGAAGAAGAGAAGGTTAGCAAAAGACTATATTGCTTGTAAAGATGGTAAAGGGCAGCTCTGGTGAGGGCTCTGCTATGGTTTGGATGTAATTTGTCTCCAACAAAATTTATATTAAAAATTTGGGCTGGGCGCGGTGGCTCACACTTGTAATCCAGCACTTTGGGAGGCTGAGGCAGGTGTTTTGCCTGAGCTCAGAAGTTCGCAACCAACATGGGCAACATGGTGAAACCCTATCTCTAATAAAATTTTTAAAAATTAGTCGGGCGTGGCGGTGTGCATCTGTAGTCCCAGCCACTTGGGAGGCTGAGGCAGAAGAATCGCTTAAACAGCCTGGAGACAGAGCAAGACTCTGTCTCAAATATATATACACACACACACACACACACACACACACACACACACAGACAGACATACATACATACATATATAAATGAACAGGGTGTGGTGGTGCACGCCTGTAGTCCCAGCTACTCGGGAGGCCGAGGCATGAGAATTGCTTGAGCCTGGGAGCCAGAGGTTACGGTGAGCTGATATTGTGCCACTGCACTCCAGCCTGGGTGACTTTGTTCAAAAAAAAAAAAAAAAAAGTAGTGAAATAGAATCTTTGGCAACAGAGGGTGCATAGCTTCTCTTGACTGCTTATACTAAAATACAAGAAGATGAATTAAAGATGAGATTTATCATCAAAGGGGAAGTAGAACTTAGATATTTGCAAAATTATCAGCCTGGCCACCTTATAAAGAAGGTAAACGCCTGGATGCAATGACTCAGGCCTATAATCCTAACACATTGGGAGGCCAAGGAGGGAGAATTGCTTGAGCCCAAGAGTTTGAGACCAGCCTAGGCAATGTAGCGAGACCCAGTCTCTACCAAAAAAAAAAATTAGCCAGGCCTGGTGGCACACCCCTGTAGTCCCAGCTACTTGGGAGGCTGGGGTAAGAGAATAGCTTGGGCCCAGGAGGTCCAGGCTGCAGTGAGCTCTGATCACACCACTGCACTCCAGCCTGGGCAACAGATGAAGACTCCGCCTAAAAAAAAAGCAAAAAAGCAAAACATGTTCAGGACAGAACTCGAAGGGTGTAGCCAAGCAAACATTTGATAAGGAGATTAGTATGGATACAAAGAGGCCAGATGGCCGGCCTGGTAGCTCACACCTGTAATCCCAGAACTTTGGGAGGCCAAGGTGTTTGGATCACTCAAGCTCAGGAGTTCAAGACCAGCCTGGGCAACATGGAAAGACTTTGTCTCTACAAAAAATACAAAAATTAGGCAGGCGGGTGGCAAGCGCCTGTAGTTCCAGCTACTCAGGAGGCTGAAGTGGTAGGACTGCTTGAGCCCAGAAGGTTGAGGCTGCAATGAGCCATTATCATACCACTGCACTCCAGCTGTGTATTTTGTCATAGCAGCCTGAACTAAGACAAATAGGTATACAGTCTCGTATTCTGCCTTGTTCACATATATTCCATAGATTTTTTCTTGTTTGCAGATAGTCTTGATTATTTCAAAGGGCTGCATAATTAGCTATACTGACACAACATAATTTACCAAGCTCTAACCTCTGGTAAACCATTTAAACCTTTCTAATATTTTACATTAAAAACAACACCACAGTTGATAACTTTGTGCACAAAAAAGCTTTTGGTTTATGTTAAACTATACTCTAGGATATATTGCTGAACGAATGAATGGACTTCCCTGAAGCACTGTAACTGTCTCAATAGTCCAAATATTTTATAGGTCTTGCAAAGAAGGACAGACTGCTTCTAAAGGGCCCTATAATTCACAGGGTAATCAAAAGTGCATTCGCTACTATCTGGCCAAGAAAGGTATTAATCAGTTTTTGCCAACTTAAAAAAAAATGAGGAACGAACACACACGAACACACACACACACACACACACACACCCCAGTTTAGTCAGCCTTAAAATCAGAGGAAAGTGGGAAAGAGGCAGTAGCAGTAGCACACTTACTGGGGATCTCCAGGCTGGGGTGGATGGCAGCCACACTTCTGACCATAGGTGGGGAATGCCGTCCATCCACCAAGTCTGACTCAGCATCCTGCGCCTCTCCATGAATCACTGCAATTCCCAGGCGCAGGCGCTCAGCAAAAGACTGTGCCCTGAGGGAAAACATCAGACATAAACTCAACTCACGCAGCTAATGCCTGGGGGCAAAACATTAAGAGAACATAAGTTTCCCAAAGGAATAAAGAGAGAATAAAACAGCCTCAGACTCTTAAAACCCAGGACTAACTGCAGAGACCCCACATGCAGGACTAACTGCAGAGACCCCACTTCCCTTGGCAGCAGTACCAAAGAAGGGCAGCGGCCTGGCCTGGTCTGCAAGCTGCTGGCCAGGATAGCCTGTGTGAGTGAGGGAACCTCCGCTCAGCTCTGTCTCACCTGAAGCTGCTAATTCTACCTGCCTGACTGCCTACCTACCAGTGAGAACCAACTACATGGGGCAAAGGGCATAAAATACTCACCAAAGTATTAACCACAAATTTCTTAATAGTTTTACAGGGGTAAAATTGAGATACAAGAAACTGTGCACATCTAAAGTATATAACTGCTTGAGCTCTGATGGCTGTAATGTGCCCATGGAAGCATTAGCACAATCAAGAGAAGGAATGTTATCGCCACAGCAACTCCTTATGCCCCTTTGTGATTTTTCCTTTTTGCCCCGGGCAACAGCTGATCTGCTTTCTGTCACCATAGTTTCACCTTATCTAGAGTTTCAGGTAAGTGAAATCATAGAGTATGTTGCCTTTTTTTGTCTGACTTCTTTTTTTTTGGAGACAGAATCTCGCTCTGTTGCCCAGGCTGGAGTGCGGTGGCATGATCTTGGCTCACTGCAACCTCTGCCTCCTGGGTTCAGGTGATTCTCCTGCCTCAGCTTCCCAAGTAGTTGGAATTACAGATGTGCACAACCGTATCTGGCTTTTTTGTATTTTTAATTTTTATTTATTTTTTAAGAGATGGGGTCTCGTTATGTTGCCCAGGCTGGAGTGCAGTGGCTATTCACAGGTGCAATCCCACTACTGATCAGCACAGGAGTTTTGACCTGCTCCGTTTCTGACCTGGGCTGGTTCACCCCTCCTTAGGCAACCTGGTGGTCTCCTGCTCCTGGGAGGTCACCATATTGATGCCAAACTTAGGGCGGACACCTGACTGGCATAGCACATTACAACCCAGAACTCTTGGGCTCAAGCAATCCTCCCACCTCAGCCTCCCAAGTAGTGAGACTACAGGCAAGCCACTGTGCCTGGTTTTTTGTATTTTTAGTAGAGACAAAAGATGAAAATCACCATACTACCATACCAAGTGTTGGTGAAGATGTGGAGGAACTTCATCTCTCATGCACTGCTCCTGGGAATGTAATATGGTATAACCACTTTGGAAAACAGTGTGTTTTACCATGTTGGCCAGGATGGTCTCAAACTCCTGACCTCAAGTGATCAACCCACGTCAACCTCCCAAAGTGAAGGGATTACAGGCGTGAGCCACTGCGCCTGGCCATTTTGTCTTACTTTACACAGCATTATGTTTTGGAGACTCATCCACTGAGTAACATGTATCAATAGTTCACTGCCTTTCATTGCTGAGTAATAGTCCGCTGTGTGAATATACAGCATAGTTTATTCATTTATGTACTGCTGAGCTTTTGGGTTGTTTCGAGTTGTTGGCTGTCACAAAACTGCTATCAACATTCATACACCGGCACATGCTTTCTTATCTCCTGGTAAATTCCTAAGAGCAGAATGGCTGGATCATATAGTAGATGTATATCTAACTCTTTATAAAAAGGCTACACTGTTTTCCAAAGTGGTTATACCATATTATACTCCCATGAGCAGTGCTTGACAGATTCAGTTCCTCCACATCTTCACCAACACTTGGGATGGTAGTATGGTAATTTGTGTCTTGTTTTCTCCTGACCAGTCTAGATAAAAGTTTATCAATTTTGTTGATTTTCTCAAAGAATCAGCTTTTTAGCTTTCTTCTGTTTTTTGTTTTCTATTTCATTGATTTATGCTTTAATCTTCTTCTTTTTTTTTTTTTTTATGCCTAAATTCAGTTCTTTATACAACATCCCTTGTAAAAACTAAACAGAGGGCTGGGCGCAGTGGCTCACACCTGTAATTCCAACACTTTGGGAGGCCGAGGCGGGTAGATCACAAGGTCAAGAGATCAAGACCATCCTGGCCAAGATGGTGAAACCCCGTCTCTACCAAAAAAATACAAAAATTAGCTGGGTGTGGTGGCATGCGCCTGTAGGGTTCAAGCAGCATTTCAGTTTCTTGCTCAGGAAGAGAACTACTTCCAGCTACTCGGGAAGCTGAGGCAGGAGAACTGCTCAAACCTGGGAGGCAGAGGTTGCAGTGAATTGGGATTATACCACTGCACTCCAGCCTGGCAAGAGAGCTCCATC